GGTAAAAAGTCCTGGTGTAGCTTCCAAAAAGACATTGCTTGTAATACCAACACACATCAGCCCATCAAAGATCCAATTCCACCTGCAGTAGTTGAAGTGATCCAGCCCGTGTTTGACAAACTCAGCAGTAAGTCATTTTTGGCTGCTTGTGAATGATGCTTAAGTCAAAATAGAAATGAGTTGCTTCACCATGTGACATGGTCACTGGCACCCAAGGAATAGTATGTCTCACCACAGGAGACATACTTAGCAGTATGCCTAAGTCTTTTACTTTTCAATGCTGGAGCACAGTCTACATACTCAAGATTATGTCCAGCCATAGGGATTACTGTTACGCCAAAAATGACTATGGGATGGAAGCAAATTGACCAAGACCGTATGTGTGGAAGTGATTACAAGAAAAGCCAAGCAGTGAAGGATCAAAGAAAAAAAGGAAAAGGCAAAAGGTGAAAAAGCAGGATGCATTTGTCCACTAGGAGGGAACCATGTACTTCTCCCAGGCCTTTCACAACACATAAACCCTAAGCATCACTTAACTGAAGGGAATCTCACTAAAACAACTCCACAGTGCAGCATCGTGTGAATTTCAACATGCAGCACAGATGATCTTGTGCCATGGCAAATCAGCTGTAGTAATGGAACTGTGACTATGTGTCTATGGGTATAATTGCCTAGCCATGACGTTAAGAATATATATGTTAGGCCTTGTTAGCCAAATAGAGGTAATTGACTTGTAAAGGGAACGTCATAAAACATCATTCAAGGTTCTTTAGAAACAGCTGCATATCTCTCTTTGCTGTACAGAGTATTAAACAATGTGCCACTTCAGGCATTGCCTATCACATGTGAATGTTTGTATAATAATATTATTATTGTTTGATATTTCCACAATGGCCCTTGTAAGAGGAGGGAAAATTGTTAACTATTTTGCTTCTATGTAAGTATCAAAAGGGACAAGGAGAATCTGCTATGGAGAGAACATTCCAGTTAATAATGATACATGAATGCCACCTTTTTTATTAAATCTATTGATTTCTTTGACTGATTATTAGAAAAGGTTCTCAATCAGTGTATCCAGTCTTTGTATGTGTGGTCATATTCTAGACATTTTAGGTCAAGAAAGGAAGGTTCTTTTATTTTAAATTCCATATAACTGTAAAATGAATAACACAAGTTTACAAATTTAAAAAATCTCTAAATGAAAAGTGTCTCCTTTGGACATGATAAAATTTTACTTTAATTATTGGAAATGTTTTATCAGGCATTGAGTTCCCTCATTTCCATGATCCAGCAGAAGTCTTGTAGGTTTACTTGGAAGGCATCCTGAGTAGACAGAAAGATATGTGCTATCATATAATGTAATGAATTATATTGTAATGAATTTAAAAAATCAAATTAGAGGGGTGCCCGAACATCCCAAAATTTGTAAGTTACATCAAATTGCTTTAATTATTATAATTACGGTCACCCAACTAGTTTAGCTTTTTAATTATTTTGGGTGTCCCACTACTGTATGTACTGTACTGTTTATTTATTTATTTATAATTATAATCTTGTAAATTCTTATAGTAGTTTACAGTAGTAGAAATAAACTGTTGTTTGACTGTCGTGTGCCTGCACAAATGAAAGAAAAAAAGGAAAGCATCCAGCAACATCTGCAAAACTCAGCGTTCAGTTTGAATGGACAAATTTAATTTACAAACAACAACAAAACAAATGCACCAAATAACTGACTAACCTCGCGAATCTCGCCCTTTATGTTGCCTGGTACCAGATGTCTGATAAAATTGAGTACCAGCTCTGGAAAGGCATACTTGGCATTCTCAGGTCCGATTTCGTTGCGCTGAAAATTGAGGATAATTGAAATCACAAATAAAATCATAAAAAATTGTAGGCAGTCCAAGACAGGATTATTTCAGTCTACGTACTTCCACGTAGAATTCTGATAACTTACCATTAGCACATGCACCCAAGAACAGTAATGATAGTACCTGTTCTTTCTGGTTGGCTTGCCTCTTTTCATCTGATCCGAAGTGCTTTTCTCCAGCAAAAGAAATCTCTCCGGTTTGAGCGCAATGCGAAACAGGAGGGTTGTCTCAAGAATGCGCATGTAAATTTCACCAGGAGGCGAACGGAAGTAAACTTTCCAAGCACTGATTGGCTCAGTTATCTAAGAACGCAGTTGAATGTGTTTGTGGGCGGAGTTTGTTTGCGAAGCAAGAAAATTTTTTCAGCACTGTTTTCTCGAAACAATTTTTTCCTTAGAAGGAGACACTTTAAAGAGCTACAAGTCAAAGAGAATTTGTTCAATTGCCCTCAAATTTGGACAGTAACTAGTTTAACATATAAACTACAAAAACGTGTCTGCGAATTGTTAATTTCAAATGAGTTTTTTTAGAGCAATTTTTTGACGATCACTCCACATTTTTTTAATCCTATTTTGAAAATGTTCTGTAACTTTTTACTTCAATTGAATATGGCAAAACGTAGACACATTTTTTTAGCGCTTTGGGCCCTGAAACCAAGGAAAAAATTAAATTTGCGAAAAACAAAATTCGCTTTGACTTGTAGCTTTCGAAAGGTGATTCGGGCGCTTGCATTTAGTGGTCGTGAAAAATTTGACAATTCATTTCATTTCAAAATTCTTGGTACAGTTTGATAGCCAGCTCTATAAGCTTTAATTTGATATAGGGGTTTAGGTATCTCCAGTTTAAACCGGACGTGCTACATCACTTGCACGCGAGACACCCCCGAAGGTATACGGTAACCTTAAGGCATCACTTATCGGTGTGATATACAGTTGTATTGAAGCTAGAGATATCAGTAATGATCACATGAACAAAGTGCAGTATTCCATGATTATCATTTGCTGTGCTTTTCCACAGTCCATTTATTTGCTTTAAGTTGATACTTATATATAGCATGGCAAAATCAGTTAAAAAGTGAAAGAGTAGTCCTCTTTTCACAATTAATGCAAAAAACACATCCTATTTTGTGTCTGTAAAAGGCTATGGGGGCCGTTCATTTGCGGTGTCGGCTCCAACTGTGTGGAATGTACTGTACTTCCAAAAGATATATTTTTCTTCATTTTTTATTGTAAGTACAGTATTCAGTTACAGATTTAATTTCATGTAAAGCACCATTGAACCATTGGGAAATGGTGCTATAAAAACATTATTATTATTATTATTATTATTATTATTATTATTATTATTACCGTTACCATTACCATTATTATTATCATTACCATTACCATTATTATTACCATTACCGTTACCATTACCGTTACCGTTATCGTTACCAATACCATTACCATTACTATTACTATTACTATTACTATTATTAACAGAAGATACATGTATGTTTTTAGAGAGTTTGAGGCTACTCCAAAATCCTTTTTCAACCTGATTTGAGAAGATTTGAAACCCCTTCTGGAAATAGTATTACCCTTTAGAAATCCTTTGAATGATGCTTTGAAGGAATGCTTTGAAAACCCTTTACAAACTCTTTGACAAGCCCCCTTACAAAAATTGTTTCACAATTTGCATTGCAAAGACAAAAGAACTGTTGGAACAAAAAAACTTCCCGTAGGTTTCTTTACTTTTTTGTCACATTCAATGGACCAGACTTATAACATCATTGCCTGACAAAAACCACTCACTTGACTCTGAAGATGACTTCCGCTTAGGTTGTCAAAATG